CTTGCTTAGATTACACACAGCTCGCTGAAAGCACACTTTGCCAGCTTAGCAGTGCTTTTTGGATACAAAAGAAAAGCAGTAATGGAAATATACTTGGCTCCATGGTTATAATGATAAAATTATGTAGCTAATTCCCTTCAGATATAACTGAAATGGACTGATGAAGAGCTGCGTGCAGAGGGGTGATTTCCATACTGTCATTTCAAGGCCACTGTCAGAGGTCCTCAGCACCTTTCAGCAGATTCCTCAGAAACAACCCGTGCCCGGTCCTTGGAAGATGTAGCTGGTTTTGGTGTTTGATGTGTGGTTTTTCTGGTGGAGAGGATTTTGGACTTAAGCCCTACTGCATCTTAATCATTTATTATAAAACAAAACAGGGATGCGTTTGTGTGTGATCTACTGTAGGTGATCCTGCTCTGGCAGGGGAGTTGGACTAGATGGTCTTTTGAGGTCTCTTCCAACCCCTAACAATCTATAAATCTGTGAAACCAAAATATCAACACTGGAAAAAACACAAGGTTTTGTGTTGCCTTTTTTCTTTTTCTTGGTGAGCTCTGTTCTTGTAAACTGAGAATGTATTTCATGTCACACAAGCTTATTTCTTTGGAAAGCTCAAGTGCATTTATAGGAATGATTGAATAGGTTGTAGGATAATATTTTAAGCAATAACATTCCTTCTATACCTTAGGAATATAAACCATGTGCCTACCTGGTTTTGAAAATAACTATTTATGCAAGGAGGAAAGATAATTTAGGGGGCATTCCTCATTCCTTTAGATACTATATGATACAGCAAGAAAGAAACTGTAAGAGATTAACTGATACTGCACAAAAGTGAAACAGAGAGGGGAAAGGAGGCTGAGAAGGAAATGTACTTGGCTCCTGTTCAGTAGAAACTGCTGCTAAATGCGAATTCCGTGTCTGTGTTAAATTATATTTTACAACAAAACATATGATGATTTATCTCTTCGTTGTATATATATGATTCCACTAATGATATGAAGAGAAGTAATGTGAAGTACATAGAGTGCTCACTACATTTATGAATAACTGACAGTTAAAATTTTTCCAAATATTCTTATATCCAACCCAGTTCTTAAACTTGTGTGCATGTAACCTGAGGACTCAAGAACATTACCAGATTATCCATTTTTTGGTTTCAATTTTAGATGCAAAACTGAGGGGAAAATATGTGGCAACATTAAGTCTGGTCTGTGATGCTTCTGTGGAGTACCAGTAAGATTTCTGTTTGGTTTTTGGTTTAAACACTAAAAGCTGGCCAGAGATCTCTAAATCCTGCTAATGTGGACTGCTGAGCCAACACAGGATGGTAACTCCTCTGAGAAACTCATTCACAGCCTCAGCATATGTGCATATGTGTTACAGTGTCACATAAATGCAACTCTGCCAATTTTTTTGGTCCTCCAGCATGTGAGGTGGACTTATTGGTGAAGGATTGTTCACAAGGCTGTATAGTGACAGGACGAGAGGCAACGATTTTAAAGTAGAGCAGGGTAGATTTAGATTAGAAATTAGAAAAATGCTCTTTACAATGAGGGTGGTGACACACTGGAACAGGTTGCCCAGAGAGGTGGTGGAGGCTCCATCCCTGGAGACATTCAAGGTCAGGCTTGATGGGGCTCTGAGCAACCTGATCTGGTTAAAGATGTCCCTGCTCGCTGCAGGTGCGTTGCACTAGATGGCCTTAAAAAGCCTCTT